ACACACACACACACACACACACACACACACACACACACACACCTGAATTTTCTTTACTTCTGGTTATTGAGGTTCTAAAAATCAAACACAACAAAGATTGACAGGAATAGTAAAATAAGGTTGGTAGAAAATCATGAAAAAAAGGAAGTCTTATAAGTTCCTGAAAGATACAAAAACAAAAGGAGCAACCTGCCACATAGGTTTGCGTTGTTTGTTTTGTTTTGTTTTCTTCATGAAAACACTGACCACTGACCATTATTTTTTAGGACTGGAATATTTTAGGACTGATTCCTTTAGGATTGAAATGCTCATGTGGAGTAAAAGACAGACTTAAATGTAGTTGTAGTGACCATGCTTCTCTGGCATTGCTGAGATGTTGAAACTGTTATTGGATCCTCAGTGCCAATAAAAAAATAATTTTTCCTCAGTAGGCTGGGAATAATCACCCCTTCTTTCCTCACTCTGTTGCTTCCACCAGTACTTTCTCTTGAAGCCTGGAGGTGGAGGTGGGGAAGGACAGAATTTAAATGGGCCAGACAATGAGAGGGCGAAGAGAATATGAGGGAAAGACAGAACACTTTTTAAAAAGAAATCAGATTTATTGATGTATAATTTACATTCAATAAAATTCACCATTCTAAAGTGCACAGTTCGATGAGTTTTGACAAATGTATACAGTTTTGTGACCATAACCACAATTCAGATCTAGAACAGTCCCATCACCCTGAGAAATCCCCTTGTGCCTTTTTAAAGTCACTCATCTCCCCCAAGGCCCTGGCAACAACTGATCTGTTTTTTGCCCCTATAATTTTGCCTTTTCTAGAATGTCATAGAAATGGAATTATACAGAATGTAGTCTTTTGTCTCTTGCTTTTACCATAATGCTTTTGAGATTCATCTGCATTCTTTCATATAGTTACTTCCAAGAATATCTCTTAAAGAACCTTTAAAGTAGTTCCCCTTAAGGTAGACCAGAATTCATAAAACTCCCGTAATGCTTTAATCATGTCTTACCAGCCAGCAGTGAGTTCTATACTTAGTTCAACTTTAAAGGTGGGCAATTCTTACCTTCCCTTCTGTCTCTGAAGCTGCTGCAATAACATACGTTCAAAGGAAGTAAGAATCATAATAAAGTGTAAGCCTCCTTTGGTTCTCTATTAATTAAGACTCTTTGGTTGCAAGTAAAGGAAGCCAGTTTAAACTAGATTAGGCAAAATAGTAAGGCTTGTTGTAACATTGAAAAGGGTGGCTCAGATCTCAAAGACATCAAGGCCAATTGGCTCCAGGGCAAGCCTTGGAAGCTAGAACTGGGAATGGGAAGTAGTCAAGAGTCAGTTCTTCTGTTCGTCTCTCTCTTTGCTTTTCGGCTTCATTCATCTTTCTCTTGCAGACTGGCTTGCTCACATTCTCATCCATGTGGTAAACTAAATTTCCCTACAGTCAAATGGAGAGATTGACTGTTGGCTCTTAGGCCAGTTCCAGCTTACCAGGAAAGATAATCAACTGTGCTTCCCTAATCCTGTTCACAATGGGGGTGTGTGTGGCACAGATGGATTCATTTAATACAGACATTGTAAACATTGTTAATGGGAGCCCACTCACATGAATTGGGCAGGGATTGGGGAGAGGGTTTGCAGGAAAGAAGGAATCATTATGAATTGGTCAGATTCTGAAAAGTTCGTTTCTATTCTCCAGTTTAGCCATTAGCCTAGAATATATTACTAACCTGTCTTGGCCCAACAACTGATTTTTCAATCTTTTATGTAATCAATTTTAGAAAATTAGGAAACCAAAATTTTATGTAATTATTATGTTATAAAGGAGTCTAAGAATGTGCAGTATTTTTACCTCCATCTCACTATGCTTCTCTTTATCTGGTAGTTTTATTTATAGTATGAATATTACTGTAGTGTTTTGATCCAAATTCTTACATGCGCATAGCCTGAAAACATTTTCTTCTTGTTCTTTCTAAAGAATGAGTTAATGATTATATTTTCTCATTCCTTTCTTGGGGACTTCTTTTAGGAAAGGTTACTTTTCCCTGAAAATTAGTGACCAGCAGTTCTTCTCTGAGCCACAGCTGATCAACATACAAGCATTTTCAACACAGGTAATAAAAATGCCAAGCAATTAATAATTTCACATGCCTGCTAATTCTCAATGCCTACTCAAAGTTTCTTGCAGTTATACCAAAAATGATTGAGCTAAATTAATCTTGGTTTATTTTCCTCAAGAAAAGCCACTGGAGTAATTTTTAGTACTTTTGGGTAATACTAATAACAACAGTAATTACTAACACTTCTATATTCTCCTAAGTGTTTCATGTGAGTAACTCATTTAACCCTCATGCCAACCCTATGAGGTAGGTATTATTATTATCCCCAACGTACAGATGAGACAAACTAAATAACAGAGAGGTTAAATAAACTGTCTGTGGTGATATAGCTAATAAATAGAGAGCCGAGATTTGAGCCTGGGAGATCTGGTTACAGAGTCTCTGTTCTTAACCATTATGTTATGCTTCTTACTTCACTGTACTGAGTCTGATACTAGCCTTTTAAAATAATTTGAAGCTTTTCAAGTTGTTAGGACTTTCCTTATTCTTTGATAAATGAATTTGTTTTATCTAAATATTTTCTCTTTTCAGGGTACAGAATTATGTCTAGCTTTTGATGATCCACCATATAGCTGGATTCCATTTAACTCAGTTTGCAGTATTTAGAGGATCTTGTTAAGGAGCTGCTTGAATGAGGCACCATTGTGGTTATCAGCCAAACAGCTGAGGTCATCAGCTGAGGAAACCATGGTAGATGTTATAAAACTTAGTGTGATGGCCCTTGTATTCTCATCATTCATCTCTGTCAAGTTGTATTTATGTGTCCAGAACACATACAGTGGTAGACGCTCAAGTAACTAGGTTTGCGAGATTGAACAGCTGAAATGTGCAAAGAGAATAAGAAAATAGATATGTCCGTAAGTTGTGAACGGCCAGTAGAGCGAGACATCATCATGGGGGAAACCAAGACTACTACCTAAATATCCAGCTCTCAGAAGTGTTCTTAGTCATGATTCAAGGAAGGACACTAGATCATTGTTATTAAATCAATATATATATATCTTTGGTGCAAAAATGAAAAGTCCACGGACCATGGGTGGTTTAGACTTGAACTAGAAATGGCTACCAAATGGTATTAACAGTGCAGCTTAACTCTTCTTAATGGCATTGCTCACATAAGGGATGATTGAGAGTTGAAGAATTAATTAGAAATTGATTCTAAGTTAATGTGACTTCAGAGTTTGGCTAAGAGTATGAATTTTGTCTTAATTCAAAGCTAAAACATGTGACCACTATAAATATAGGCCAGAGGCCCACATCAGGTCTCAGGATTTACTGTTTTAGATGTTTCTCAATACTCAAAAGTTTTATCGTTTTCATTTGGGCTAATTCAGTTACTTCCATTAGGTGAGGACAAGCCCTAGGATAGATATTGGCAAGTAATTTCCTAATCTGAGAAGCTGAGTTCCCATGTTTCCCTGAATTTTGATTCTTTGTTGTCCCAAAATCAAGCAAATACATAGTAACAGAACATTTTTATTTTATCATATGAAAATTTTTAAAATCATTTTAACTTTTTAAAGATGGAATTTTAACTTAGTTTTGTTCCTTCAAATTTCTGCAACATTTCAATGTAGTCTTGAGCTTCCCTGGGATTTTCTCATGTAAGTTAATTTAGTCTTTTCCGTGTATAGATTTTGATATCACCTTTGACCTTTCTCTTTCAGAATCTGAGGGGCCATTCATTCTCGTATAGAATCACAGCTTTAGAATTCTCACTTAGGAATTCTAAGGAGTAGCTATCACCTAGTTTCCCACTATGTGATTATTATAATGATGCATTAGTTAGACATTACTTGGATGGATATTATAATTTCCAGGAGGCTGGGAAGGTATTTGGATCATTTTAAAAGAAAGTCATTTGGACTAAAGAAGGCAGTGCTGAGAAAAGCACTAGATGGTTCAACTTCAAACGATATAAAATACCTAAGAATGTTTTCTTTGGCTTCTGGTCTTGATTTTTTTTTTTTTTTTTTTTTTTGGTGAGTTTTTTTCTCTTGTGGTTCACTAACTTATCTTTGTGAAAGAACATTTTATCTGCTTATTTAAGTTGGTGGGGGGAAACCTGACAATCCTTAGGAAACCATATTAAATTTTGCTATATTAGGAGTGCAACATGAATTAACCAGGTGGTTGCCTTACTCACTCAGACCATAAACTTGTCAGGCTTTACAGCCTAAGTTGGGGTTGGGCCCTATTGAGATTTGGATGAGAGAGCTTGAGGAAAATTACTGGAAGGAACCAGAAATAGCATGGATTCAGAATGCAGAAATATCTTACCCTGAGTCAGCATGCTGCAACATGGCCTGTAGTGAAACGTTCAATTCCCAAGCATGAGTCTAACAATTCCATACCTCTTATGAGTCTTTCTTGGATGTAGACAACTGACTGGGTTCCATGACAATAGGCTTACCTCAGTTACAACAGACCTTAGACTTTTTTTTTTTTTTTTTTTGCAGAGGATATAGTGTAAATCAAGAAAGCAAAGAAATTAGAGATATAGAAGCAAGCAGCTCTGGTCTGTGGCCTCTCATCCAGACTATGGCCTTGGGATGGCTTGAGAAACCTCTAGAACCTAGAAGTGTGAAGTAACCACAATTGCTGTGATTACCACAACTGACCATGCCTCTGACAAATACTTTCTGTATGAAACAGTTTGACACTTTGCAGGACCATCTAGATTTCCTCAGAAAGCATAGAAATATCAGCCATGTTACACACAACTGAGATCTAGTCCATTGAATTGTCCTCCTTTCCCTGCTGAATGACTCCTCTTCCCCTCCTTCCCTTCAACTCCACAGGCTCCCTATGTGCTGAGAAATGAAGTCCTCCACATTAGCAGAGGAGAGAGTAGAAGCATCACTACCCAGCTGCTTGACATCCGAGATGATGACAACCCACAGGATGTGGTAGTTGAAGTGCTTGATCCTCCACTTCATGGCCAATTGCTCCAAATGCTTCGGGCTCCTGCAGCCCCTATCTATCAGTTCCGTCTGGATGAGCTCTCCAGGGGCCTTCTCCACTACGCTCATGACGGCTCAGATAGCGTATCTGATGTTGCAGTCTTGCAAGCCAATGACGGGCACTCCTTCCAAAATATACTGTTCCACGTTAAGACTGCACCCAAGGTAGGTGTCATTCCTAGAGCTACAGTTTTCTTACACCTAAATGTGAAGTTTCATGCTGATATTATTTTTGCTGTACTCATAAAGTTAATATATGAGTAGTTATTCATTTATTCAGGAGCCCGGGTGGTGCAAGCAATTTGTGATCAGCTACTCACCGAAAGGTTGGCAATTCAAACCCACCCCGTGGCTCTGCAAAAGAAAGGTCTGGCAATCTGCTTCTGTAAAGATTACAGCCAAGAAAACCCTATGGAACGGTTCTACTCTGTGACACATGGGGTCGCTGTAAGTCGGAGGCTGACTCAATGGCAGCTAACAACAACAATTCATTTATTCAAACATTTATTAAATATCTATTATGTAGGTACTTAGGAAATTCAAAGATTTATGGAACACATTTCTCAATCTCAGAGGGCATTATCTATTTTGTTCATCCTTGATTTGAAAGACCCCTCCCCAAGTTCTCTACAAAATGGGAAACTTTAGTTTTTTTGTGGAGTTACGGCATCATTATCTACTGATCCTTATCTCCTGCTTAAGCATGACCATAAGAATCAAGGACATCCCTGTGCATTTCTGCCCTCTGAAACAGCTCATGAAGTATGAAGCTCAGAGTCAGGTAATCTTAAACAATCTAAAAGGATGAGTTCAGCCATTCTGTTGGCCAAACTGAAGTAGGGTAAGAGAACTCCCTGTTTTAGTAATTGTAAGGAGTCCTTGGCCTAGGGGATAGGAACCTAGTAAAGAGCAGTGTTACCCAGTCTGAGTCATTTACATGGCAACCTTCATATGTTTTTGCCATATCCATGTGAACCTTTACTATTATTTACTTGATATTTTTCTTTAAATCAGCTTACTCTTTTATTGTGGCCTTATCATAATAAATACTACCTGTGAAATCATGAATTTAATGTAGAATTATACTTTTTTCTAAAATATTAAAATCAACATGTAAGGATTTTTTAAAAGTTTATCCTTGCACTACATAAAATGGTCTTGGATACTACCAGTGGGATGGTCATCACACTTTGGGAAATACTGGACTAACCCATACTAGACCAAAGAGACTTATTGAAAAATAATTTCAAAACCATTTATTACTTGATAATATTTCACTCGAAGCCCTTTTCTTAGTTGTAGGAAGAATGACTCTTTTCCATGGTGGTAGATTGGAAAACTTACAATGTTTTTGAACTTTTCATTCCACATACCAGTACCTACTGAGGTGTCACTAATGATTAGCGGGAGAGATTGATTTGCTGAAGACAGTTTAGAAATCACTTGTCACTTTCACACCAATTATCACTCAAAGTTTTCGACTGATCTTTGTGAAGGTCAACAGCTGAATCTAATATGGTCTGCTCACTAGTTTCTCAGTCTTTTCGTCTCATTATTTTCTACTGCTAGAAAACAGTGATGGTGGCATGAGATAGATGGGAGTAAGCGAAGGCTGATTATGAGATAAAGTTGGCAGATAGCCACCTTCTAGCTAATCCTAATTATCATCCTCTTGCAATCGTGCTGGGAAATGAGGTTTAGTTCTGAAGAGATGAAGTCTAGACAGACTCAGAAAGTTTTCTTCCTTCTTGGTTTCTTTCCAAAGTTGTTACAGGATTTCAGTACACGAGCAGTACACTAGCAGCAGCCTTTCCTTTCATGGTTTTAATTTCCATGTTTGGAGCTCAATTCTGTGTGTAGCACAGTCATTTTGTGTGGGATGGCCCAAGGTTGAAGGGCATTTCTAGGATTTTAGCTGTTTTGACTACTAAAAAAAAAAAAACAGAAAAATAGAATTTTAATTCATAAATAAGGTACAGAACTTGGGAATCCTTATGGTCCTTATAACTTATGAGTCATGTGTGATCTGCTTCTGAAGGATCACAGCCATGAGAACCCTTTGGAACACGGTTCTACACGGCAACACATGGGGTCAACATGAGTCGGAATCGACTCAATGGCAACTCTTTTTTTTTTTCTCCCAGTTCTTTTTTTTTTATTTTGCTTTAAGTGAAAGTTTTCAATTCAAATTAGTTTCTCATACAAAAATTTATGCACACATTGTTATGTGATCCTAGTTGCTCTCCCTACAATGTGACAGCATACTCCTTTCCACCCCAGATTTCTCATGTCCATTCAACCAGCTCCTGACCCTCTCTGCCTTCTCATCTCACCTCTGGACAGGAGCTGCCCATTTAGTCTCGTGTATCTACTTGAGCTAAGAAGCACACTCTTCACGAGTATCATTTTATGTCCCATAGTCCAGTCTAATCTTTGTCTGAAGAGTTGGCCTCAGGAATGGTTTTAGTTTAGTGCTAACAGAAAGTCCGGGACCCATGTCTTCCAGGGTCCCTCCAGTCTCAGTCAAACCATTAAGTCTGGTCTTTTTACCACAGTTTGAGCTCTGCACCTCACTTTTCTCCGTTCCATCAGGGACTCTCTGTTGTGTTCCCTGTCAGGAAGGTCATTGGTGGTAGCCAGGCACCCGCTAGTTCTTCTGGTCTCAGGCTGATGAAGTCTCTGGTTTATGTGGACCTTTCTGTCTCTTGGGCTAATAATTCTTTTGTGTCTTTGGTGTTCGTCATTCTCCTTTGCTCCAGGTGGGTTGGGACAAATTGATGCATCTTAGATGGCCACTCACTAGCTTTTAAGACCCCAGATGACATTCACCGAAGTAGGATGCAGAACATTTTCTTAATAAACTTTGTTATGCCATTCGACCTAGATGTCCCCTAAAACCATGGACCCCAAATCCCCACCCTTGCTACTGTGTCCCTCGAAGTGTTTGGCTGTATTCAGGAAACTTCTTAGCTTTTGATTTAGTCCAGTTGTGCTGACTTCCTCTGTAGTGTATGTTGTCCTTCCCTTCCCCTAAGATAATTCTTGTCTACTATCTAGTTAGTTAATACCCCTCTCCCTCCCAACCCCCCTTGTAACCATCAAAGAATGTTTTCTTCTGTGTTTAAACCTTTCCTTGAGTTTTTATAATAGTGGTCTTATACAATATTTGTCCTTTTGCAGCTGACTAAATTCACTCAGCATAATGCCTTCCAGATTCCTCCATGTTATATTTCATGGATTCATCATTGTCTGTATCGTTGCATAGTATTCCTCAATGGCAACTCTTTTTTGCTGTTGTTGTTTCATGTAGGTATTTACTGTATCATGTAGGTATTTACTATGATTCCCAAATAGTAAGTTTATGTTGTTCCTCCCCCTCCCCGTCCCATCCTTCTATCCCCTACAGTGCTGTGCTTGCCTGTCTATTAGGTGACTGTAACTGGCTTCTAAACCCATGAATTAGAAGTATGAAACCAGTGACCAGAGCCTCAGCACCCATCAGGATGGGCTAATAATAAATTTGATGTTGTAATAATAATAATATTTTATAAATATATACTATTTTTCCTTTTAGGAATTTAAAGTACTTTTCCTTATAGCTATTCTACTGATCTTCACAGTATTTTGAAGAACAGGGTTAGAATAGAGGCTATGTGATCTTATTTCTTCTAAAGGAAATTGTATGAGTGGAAGTTTTTTGTTTGTTTTGTTTTTAACATTTGAGCACTAATGCTTGATGTGAATTATCCCACTTGATCTTCACAATCATTCTATGATATTTGTGCTGCTATTATCTCCAATTTACCAAAAGAGGAAACTGAAGCACAGAGAGATTTAAAAATGTTCATTTTCATAAAAGTATTTAGGGCTGGGGTTGTAATTTGAACTAAAGTGTATCTAGCTCCCCACACTTAATCATGAGACTCTTTTCACTCTAGCTCATATTTTTCAATGTTTTGGTCATATGTATTTTTACACTTGCAATGGACAGAATGGAGATAGAGTAATTTAGTGATTTGCTCAATGTCCTGTCCAAGCATACTGGGCCCCAAGCCTCCTGGAAGCTTCCCTTTGGACTCATCACAGCTTGTTAACAATCGTAAGTTTACTGGGGTCCAAGAAGACAAAATTGCCTCAGTTGTTATGGCTTCCAGTGGATGTGTGGTCAGACATGATTAATTTTATTCTAATAACCGTTTTTTAAGATGGGGCATACAAGTCCGTACCCTGAGATTATCTGTGGATTAAATTTAGAGTGAAGTTGATTACTGGCTAATGTATAGCTGGTGGCTTAAATGGAATGGCCAACGGGTTTCAATCTAATTCCTAGTGAATGAATATACAAATTAATCCTGATATCGTTCAGTGGAAAACTCAACCTGGCAAGATAGGAAGAGAGGGAGGGAGCGATGAAGGGAGGAAGGGATAGAAAAAGGAAGCTTTGTGAGAGCAGGGACTATGTCAGTCCTGTTCTTCTGAGCTGGGTACATATAGGAGTTCAGTAGATTTTTTTGGATGGATGCATGCATGCATGCAGTAGGCTGAGTGAGGCTGGTGCTCCTATTTCTGTCTTCAGATAGACCTCTTGCATCACCTCAGGGTGCCTCTTCAGGACTACGTGAAGGAGCTGTCAATTCTACCCTTGCTTTTCAAGTTGTTCTGCATCCATTTCCACCAAATCTGTGTTTTTATCCTTAGTCTGGCAGTGAAAAACTTGACTGCCGCCCTCCAGGCTTATATTGAGCCACTCAGGAGAAAATAGAACCAGGACTGTTGTTGAAACATGTTATACTGCGGGGAGGAGGAAAAAGAAATCAAAAAGATTAAAAAGTAATAAAGAATGCTTTGCTAAACAAGCTTTCATTAATTGGGTGGATTACTAAATGCAAGCCTGCTAGAGATATGATTCTAAAGCAATTCAGCATTTAATAAGGGCTGAGATGTGGGCAGGGAAAAGTCATTTTTATTTATTTATTTATTTTTTGGTGGGCTTCTCTCTATTGTTGAGCTTTTGAGGAATTACTTTCTTTTTCATTAATTAAGGTGCCGCTGGAAAGCATGCCTTTTTTGCCACTTTGGCAATAAATCTGATGATCTTTTTGACCTCGTTTGTTCTTGTTTGAGAAGTTGCTTTCTGCAACCGAGTCATGCTTTAATGTTAAAAG